AGGAGGCTCAATCGTATCTTCGGTTCTAAGAAGCCCTGTACAACGCCGAACTCTTAAGGACTTATATAAAGAAGTCAGAATAAGGAACCCTAGAAAGGTAGGTTCTTCAGGGCCCAGGTAGGTCTTTGGTGTGGGGCTGTAGTGTTTAGGACTCCGAGTCTTGAGGGTTTAGGGCTCAGGGCCGGGGGCTTAGTAAGTTTGTGTTTGCCTACATGTTTAGAGGGGTAGTTTTCTAAATCTGGGTCCCTTTTAGGATCCTTTTTATAAAGGTGCCGTATTAGACCGGGCACCCAAAAAGGGAACCTAGTTTGAAGAACTGCCCAAGCACTGCTTCTGGGGTACGGCTAACTCCGGTCGAGCCCCTCGACGGTACCCATTTTCGGCGTTAGGTTTGGGAGAATTCCGTGTTTCAATACCTACTGCATTGTCATTCCTTAGAGGTTCCTTATTGTAGTTATACCCCAAAGCCCTATTCTAGGTATTAAGGCCCATGTGTTTATTTTCCCTGGGCTGGAGTCTGGAACAGTGTAATACCTAGTCCCTGCTTAGGGTTTAAGTAAGGTTTAAGCTTAGGTTTCGACTTTATGGTTTTGGTGTTCAGGGGTTTTACCATTATGAAGGCCAAGAGCGAATCATGTGTGAACCAAGGAAAGCAGCCCTAAATCCTAAACCCCAAACCCCTTCTTGGGAGTATTGCATTGATGGGGCTGGTAAAGGCCTTGGGATGGGTGCAAGATTCAGGGTCTACCTTAATCCTAAATCATTTACTTTTTTAAGGACTTATATAAGGAAATCATAATAAGAAACCCTAAAACAGGTAGGTTCATTTGGGCTCAGGTAGCGTTTGGAATTTAGGGTTTAGAGTGAGGGTTTGCCATGCAACAGTATGCCGGCTGATGCAGGAAACTCTCAACCCTAAACCCTGAACCTTAAACCCTAAACCGTGCACCTTAAATAGGGTAAACCCTAAACAAACTCTCAACAGAGTCTTAGCGTCCGTGCAGTCACGAGTTCAGCGCGCGCGCGCGGGGTCAGAAACGATCTTCATGGCATCGTGTCCTCCGAAACCTCTAAGGCCCTAGGCTCCCGAGTAGTACTATAGGGGCCTAAAGAATTACCAATACTATGTTGGGGGTTCCTTATTATAGGTATAGTCTTAAAGGGCCCGCAAACCCCTGTTCTAATTTTTAACGCCCCTACATTACCCTGTTGCCCTCTTTCTTTTTTGGGGGTTCCTTCAAACTTTAATAAAAACAAAAAGTAGTAAAAAAGGGTAGCCTTATTATTATTAGATACCATACTGCATTATTCCGGGGCTACTGGGTAACCTCGGGCTGAGCGCCTTTCGAAGTAGACGCCCTTGCAGCAAAGATGTTTGGAGCTTTGCTGGTCGGCGGTTTATATCCTAAGTACCCTTCAGGGTTTAGGGTTTAGGGTTTAGTACTGGGGAGTAGTGAGACCTCTTATGAAGGGGACCCTTCTGAACACTACTTGTGGCTCTCTTGAACTTGGACCTTATTGAGAGGGTCTATATCCCCAAGGGTTCCCCTAATCCAACCTCCCAGACAGGGCTCAGGGTTCCGAGTTAGGGCTCTTGGTTTGGATTTGGGGGCCCAGCCCTGCGATACAGATAGCCCAAGCTTCTCCTTTAAGTACTTGCAGACCGTCTAAACTCTAAGTCCTAATCCCTAAACCCGACACCTTAACCTGAAACCTGGATCAGCACGCGTTATGCGTTGAAACAGGGCCTTCACACCCTAAAGCCCCGGCTCCCCAAAAGAACCGCCAAGCCCCAAGACCCTAAGGCCCAACAACAGCCCCAACGCCCAACAAACCTCCAAAGCCCCAAGACCCTAAAACCCTAAAGCCACCCCAAACGCCAAAACGCCCAAGGCACCAAATGCCACAAAACCCAGGACATCCCAAAACCCTAAAACCCCACAAAACCCTAAAGCCCCACAAACCCCAAGCAACCTAAAGCGTTAAAAGCCCAAAAACCTAAAGCCACAAACCCCCCCCCAAAAAGCCACGAAGCTTAAAGCCCTATAAACCCCCAAAACACCAAGAGCGCACCCAGGCACCGGCGACAAGCACGGGTCTCGAATCCCTCTGGGCTTAGGCGTTTAGGACTGAGGGTTTTACAGTTCAGGGGTCTAGGGGTTTAGGTTTAAGGGCTTAGGGTCTATAGGGCTTACCCTGAGGGTCCAAGTACCGAACAATCATATACCCTTCTGAATACTAACCTACAAGACCACTATCCGTAATCCAAGTACATGATTATTAGGTCCTTTGGACCCTTAGGGTTCTGGTGTTGAGGGTTTCTTTTCGGCTCGGGGTTCTTTGTTGCAACAGGGCGTTCTTAGTTCTTAAAGGTTTTTGTGTTTCCGGGCTAGTGTTTGGGAGCATCTCTTAGTGGCTGAGTAGGTAACCTTTAACTTTTGGGGCTCTTATAATCCTACTGTAATTCAAAAGGTTAACCTTTTTTGGGCTAGGGTACCCAGCCCCTGAGGTCTTGAAGGTTTGATATTGTTTAGGTGTTGGCGATAGTTTTTGGCAGGTTAGGATTTGGGCCGGTATACAATTATCAGGCACTTGGACTCCCAGGGTTCTTGCATGTGAGGTCAGATGACATTCAGGCGTAGAACAGGCCTTGAATCTCGGCAACCCCGGACGAATCATGCACACAGCATCTAATCTCGACACCGGCTGTCCTCAGGAAGTCGAAGAAGCGGATTGTCGGAAGCCTCTTCATCGCGGAGGCCCGTTTGCCTTGGCCAGTCTCGTAGCCGGAGGAAGCAACACGACAATCCAACACCTCTGGTCCGAAAAGGCTTGAACAATACTTCTAACCTTGACCCTCCAGCCTTGAACTGCAAAGCCCAAAAACCGTGATCCAAATCATGGTTCCTTTCCTGCTAAGCCCATGCCGCAAATGCCAGATACCCGGTCCCCGCGGCCCCTCAACATCTGAAACTTCACAAATGCCTTCTGACGGTATTTTGGTAGTAGCGAATGGTGCCAGAGGAAAGCAAGAAGCTATCACAATAATTCCTGGATGGGCTCGGACCTGGAAAAGAGTTAGTACCAAGTGGAGTAGCTGGACGAGTGATAATGATCACGCTGGCGTGCGCAAAATACGGGGAGCAAGCATAGTACTCTACTGGCCATGCTGTTGATGGCCGTGGTAATGAAGAGCGCAGCGAATCCATCCATGAAGGCGCCACAACAACCTGTAATTACTGTGGTACCCTTCGAAGTGTTGGCAATAGCAACATTGACGATGGTGAGAGTCAGAGCCATCGTATGACCAGCAAGACACACGTGTTTGTTGGGATTGCTGAGATTTGCTCCCATTGACGGTCTGATATCTATCTGTCTGTCTCTCTGTCCATCTATCCATCTAATCTATCTACCTATCATTATATAAGCCCTCAACCAAGTGTACTATAAAGCCTCATCAGGGGTCGGGGTGCCCTGGTCTGGCAGGAGGACAGTGGCCCTACCGATGTCATGTCGGTGAAGCGCCCAGGAGTGTTGGATTGCAGGGGCTTTGGATGTTGCGTTCATTGTGAAGGTTTCAGGGTTTGCAAGTCTCGGGGGGAAGGGGAGAGTGGGTGGGGTGGTCTGGCTGCTCCAAAGACTCACTAGAGGAAGCCCCAGCGGTAAGAGTTGTTGGATAGTTTAGGTTGTTTGCTGATTAGAGCTTAAGTAATCAGCTCCAACCAACGTCTTACTTAGATCAGCTTGTCCCGCCTTTCTTGAGCAATTCCAGCCCATTCGTAGAAATTCTGTTCGAGTCTGCGGCATCACTATGCTACAGAGAGCTTTGATGTTGCCACCCCGCCCTGTCACCCTCGCCCTGAAATTTTTCAGATGTGAGAGTATGAGTAATCTTGCTCTACATAAACGAAATCCTAAATGCCTGACACTTGGCCCTGCCACCCCTACAGTTATGTAGCCATACTGTTACAAGTCTTCAGACAAAAACAAGTGTAAGCCGAACTTTCGGTGAGCAACCCCAAACCCTGCCCCCCTCCCGCCCCCGAAGTTTAACCCATCATGAAATCTTAGCCCTAAACCCTAAACTCCCTAAGCCCTAAACCCTAAACTCCCTCAACCCTAAACCCTAAAAGCCCTGAACCCCTAAACCCTAAAAGCCCTAAACGCCCTAAACCCTAAACTCATCTCCGAGGGTGCAGAGTTGATTACAGCCGGTCCCTTCGCTTCACAAGTCATCCACCGAAATCCTCACTTCAAGGTGGTGAATACCGAAAGGGGCTTGCTGGAGAAATCAGGCGCTGAGAGTGGCTGGGTTCAGGATTTGAGATCCCTAAGCCCTATAAGCCCTACCAGGACCCCCCAAAGGCCCTCTATTGGAGCCCTTATGGTCCTTAATAGTGGGTATTTTGGGTATGTTAGAGGGTAGTTGGGGGGTCTAGGCAAACCGTGCTAGGCTGGAGGGTTTAAGTTACCCTCGCGCTGAGCGACGTGTGCGCAGGCTTCTTCTTGTTCGCTCTTTAGACCGTCCCCAGACCGTAAGCCCTACGTGTTTTGGCGTGGTCGGACTTGTCTCACGCCATGGTCAGCTATGGTCTCCCATGGCCGTGAAGGTTCGATGGAGGACAGGAGAAGCCACACCCTGGATCAGGACAAATACCCCAATGTTATCTCTAAGGTTCACCGTTCATCCTAATATCAACCTGATGGGGAGTCTGAATGATTCTAACGATAAGCGTGAATTACTTCTAACTTCAGTATTTTCCCGTCTGTGGACCCCAGTCTTTCCCCAGAGTTTGCAATCCTGGCATTAACTGTGCACAGCTTTGGGCAGTTCAAGCCGATCTCTTTCCCTAAGGCTCCATGTACCTACAACAGTGTATACTTTCAGGCTTTAAAGCCCTAACCCTAAACCTTCAAGCTAGTCTTGCCGGTTTACCTAGAGATATGAAGAACTGCTACAGCCTCTTGGAAAGCTCCGCTAGATGTCAACAGGCCCGCCTCTGCAACGATTCGGAGCCCTAACACCGCAAGCATTGAAACCCCATAGAGTCCTAAACGCGAAACCTGAATTCCAAATCTGCAAAGTCCCAAACCCGAAATCGCAAACCCTAAAGCCCTAAAGTCCTTAACCCGAAACCTAAAATCTTGACGTTATCGGGACGCAGCGAAATCTGCGAGACCAAACCTTTCAATTCTGGAACTCCCGAAACCCTAAAAACCCTACAGTAAGCCTAAATCCCAGACCTAAGGTTTAGGGTTTAGGGTAAACCCTAAAACCCTAAACCCTAAACCCTAAACCCTAAACCCTAAACCCTAAACCCTAAACCCTAAACCCTAACCATCCTAAACCTCTAGACCCCATACCCATAAACCCTAAGCCTAAACCGACAAGCCCCAAGCCCCGAACCTAAACCTCAAGCCCGCTCCGATCGGTTGGCTGGCCTCACAAGCCTTGGCAAAGATCACGGTTCACAGGCCAAGCTTGAGTCATTGAAAGCCTTGGCGCGAATCTACGCCAACTCGTGAAGCCACGTACCCACAGCCAATGATCCGGTGGGGTCTTTGTGCAACCCCACCGTGCCTAAACCCTGAACCCCTAAACTCTAAACCCCTAAACCCTATACCCTAAATCCCTAAACCCTAAATCCCTAAACCCTAAGCCCTAAACTGTCTGCATTATCGTATACGAATCCGAAACCCTATGCTTTCAACGCCCAGCCCTAGGCCCGCAACGACCGGAAGACAAGAACCTAGTAGGGTTTAGGGCTTTGGGGGTTGAAGTGGTGCTGTAAGGGTTTCTGTAAGGATTCTATGGGTGTAGGGTTTAGGGCTAGGGTTCAGGGTTTTAGGATTTAGGGACTTACCCTAAGGGTCCAAGTACCTAATAATCATATACTCTCCCAAATATTAACCTAGATAACTACTATCCACGCCTACACCCTACACCCTAAACCCTAAACCCTAAACCCTGATTATTGAGTCCTTTGGACCCTTAGGGTTAGTTACCACGACCGAGCAAAGCCTGGAAGCTGCCAGAGGGTTTAGGGTTTAGGGTTTAGAGGAACCACCGAAACTGGTTTTTGGTAGATCCAATCCAAAATCGAACCACTAGCCCCTTAAACCCTTTTAATTCCCTAGACCCTAGACCCTAAACCCTAGACCCTAAACCCTAAACCCTAAACCCGAAACCGATAAACCCTGTAAAATCCGTCAGCACAATAAGTTCTATAAAGAATTTAAGCGCTAAAAAGCAGCCGAGGCACTACACTATATGCCCGAAACCGTGAACTGAACTGAAACCCGGAGCCCTATGATCCCTAGACCCTAAACTTGAGAACCCCAAAAGGACATAAGCATAAGCATTTTATAGGGATATCCCTACCTTATTGGGCTTCATTCTAAGGGGGATTATATGGGATATCCCTATCCTAATTTGTGCTTATGTGCTTTTTTGGGGGCCCTATAAACATCTCTAGACCTCAAACCCTATACTGGGTTTTCGGTTATAACCAAACCCAAAAAGGATTAAACATGATCATCTTCAATATAGCCCCAACCGGGTATAAACCCATTGTCTAAATCCCAAATCCTATAAACCCAAACACGATAATTCCGTGAGGGCTCACCATCGAGACTCTGAGCGACTGGCGAGTGAATCCCATGGAGTTCGACAAGGCTGCGGGGGTCAGGGCTTTTAGCTTTAAGGGTTTAGGGTTTAGGGGTCTGGTGGGGGTTCAGAAATTAGGACTTAGGGTCGTAAGGGTTTAGGATTCGGGGATATTCCGGGTTTTAAGCTTTAAGGTTCAGGCATGAGGGATCCGTTTTCAGGGCTTGGGGCGGCTTGTGGTTTGGCTGAAGATTGAGCTTCGAGGCTTTTGGGGTTCATGGACTGCGCTTCGTTGCTTCGGCATCTGTATGGTCGTCGAGAGTTTTCGGCGAGTGTGCAGGACCTTAACGGGTTCAGGCTTGAAAATGGCTGTTGTGTGTAGAAGGACTTATGTAAGGACACATAGTATCACTTCATCCTTTCGCTACATAAACCAGAGACGGCGCTGTGGTAGACGAGAATTCGTCCGTGATGTAAGGCGCTGGTCATCATAAATCCGCTGGGCTGGGCTCCAGTTTGATAGCACACACCACATGTGATGTGCGATGCAAAGAACCTAAACTGTCGAATCCGTAAGAACCAGTCCGAGAGCAAAGAGAGGGAGAAAGAAAAAGAGAGACAGAGAGAGAGCGAGAGCGAGATAGAGAGACCGAGAGAGAGAGCGAGATAGAGAGAGAGAGAGAGAGCAAGACAGAGAGAGACAGAGACAGAGACCCTGAACCCTGCAGCCTTGTGTCACGCACCCTTCGAGGCATCTCAGCACCAGGGCCGTCGGCAAGGCATTAGATGGTTAAGGCCGCCACGAATTACCCGCGGGCTGCCCAGGCTCCAACCTCACACAAAACGGCTGAAAGTAATCATCAGGTACTGTTACAGACACTTCCCACGCCGAAAGCCTCAATCCGGAACTACCGAGCCCGCCCATCCAGGCGAACCCGAAAATCGCGAGCCCGCCCATCCGGGCGAAGCATCCCAGGCGAGCCCATCCAGGCGAGCCCGAAACCCCAAAGGCTGGGCCCAAGATAGACGTGTCATATTCACGGCTATTGGCTTTCAAGAAGTATATATATATATATATACATGAAGGTCACGGCAGTTACAAGAGCCAGAGCATGGATGCAAGCTGAGTGCTCCTTTGAGAAACTGAGGTGCACGACAGTGCCGTAAGCTTGCCCTTGACCTGACACGTCTCTGGTCTGTGATGGCAGTGCTTGAAAACGACTCCGCCTCTCAAATACCTGCACCAGATACTATACTATACTGGGTTCTTGTTAAGGGATTTAATTTAAGTTACCATGATAGGGATCTACAGTAAATAATATGGTTTCCTTATTATGGTAACTTAAACTAAATCCCTTAACAAGAACCCAGTATACTACCGTAATAGCGTTGAGAACTTGAGACCATTCAAGATGATACCCTAAACCCTAAACGCTAAACCCTAAACCCTAAACCCTAAACCCTAAACCCTAAACCGGCCAGCAGGCCCAAGTCCCTCACTGGTCTGAAGCAGTTTCTTTGGTCCCCTTGTCGCATTGGGCATACCACGGTTTAGAGTTTAGGTTTTAGGGTTTAGGGTTTAGGAAACCCCTGAAAACCTCCTAAGACCCTTTAGAAGCCTACAAGTGGGAAACCCTTTCAAGCCCTATAAAGCATTTAAGCTTAAACCTTCTTTTCAAGTCCTCCAAAATCATAAAACCTTTGTAACTTCGCCGCGGCCGACATCTTGCAGCTGCTCCTCGCGCTCGCGATCGGAGGCCTGCCACTTGAGACTTTCAGAAATGAAGACCACTGGCCCCCTACTTGAGGTCAAAGGGTTGAGGCTGAGGGTTTAGGGTTTTGAGATTTGGGGAAAGTGCTGGACCCCTGCTCGACGGACGCCGAACCCACTCTTAAAAACCCCCGACCTGACGGCTGTGGGTATGATCCTCTGCTCTGCCTGCGCGAAGTCTTCCTGCATTGCCCAGGTGTGTCGCGAGACCTCCGATCCGGCCAGAAACTGTGTGGATCTGGACTAGGTTTAGGGTTTACGGTTTCGTGAAGGCTCTGTTCCAACTGCACGAAAGTGCTGCCAGACTTCCTCAAAGGGCTTTAGGGTGAAGGGTTGAGGGTTGATCTTTGAGGGCTTGTAGCATCCTGGGGCTTCTCCTGACGTGACGGATCCCAAAACCCTTAACCGCATCATCACAGCTCGTGCAGGTCTGCATGGCCGAGAGGGGCACACTGCTCGGCGCGTACTGCATTGGCTCGAACCTGTTCTTGCTGATAGGTAGATTCCAGATAGATTGATAGTCACAGCAGCATGGAATCCTAAGTGGAAGGCATTCGCAAGTTGCAATAAAGCGGATGAGGCCATAAAGCACAGTATCAGTGCAGAAGTATCTTATATAAATGGGTGACAACCTGTGGCAAGTTATGTCTTGAAGAGTAAGACAGGGATGACAGGATAGCTTGCATCTCTCAACGACTGCCAGCTGGCAAAGAGGCAACCCGGGTGCCAGACGTAGTCTTCGCTGCAGTCATGCGGGTCTGGCAGGGATGCAGGCGAGATCATGGCTTCAAGGCCCAAGAATACAGCAGCATAATTTTGAGGGTTTTGGGTTACTAAGATTACTAAGACTAGAAGAAGTACACTGTAGCGGTTACTATTAGGGCTACCATAAGGGCTGCTATAAGGGTTCAGGGTTCCAGGCTTGTTTCGGGCTCAGGCTCCTTAGCCTCGTTAGGTTCGGGCCTGAGCGCGAGCTTGCTCCATGATCTTCCTCTTGGCCTGCAGGCGGGCGTGTGGTGCTCAGCTTGAGAGGGTCTTGGGCTTAGGTTTCTCGGCTGGGGTTTTGGGCATGGGGTTTAGGGTGTTGGGTTTAGGGTTTTGGGGTTTTGGGTTCGAGTTTTGGGCTTAGGGTTTGGGGCTTAGGGTTTGGGGCTTTGGGTTTAGGGTCTGCTCAGCTCGGGTGGAGCTCAGACGAGGAGATGAACGCGCCTGGTCGATGTCCTCGCGGTTCGGCACTGCATCGCGGGTCATGTCTAAGGCACTGGCCTCGGTGGATCGGCTTTGGGGTTTAAGGTGCCCTTGGGCTTGGGCTTGGGGTGCGGTGGGTTTGGGTTTAGGATGTGGGGCTTGAGGTTTAGTTATAAGTATGGCTATAAGTCCCCTAATATGGGTTATAAATACACTTACCCTACTTATAACCCCCATTTATAACTACCCCTAAACCCTAAACCCTAAACCCTAAACCCTAAACCCTAAAACCCATAGAACCTCCAAGCAGAGCTTTTGAGTGCGCCGCTGGCGCCATCGCCTCGAAGGTGCCTCGGCTCACTCGGCTGCTCCCTTGCTGCAGGGTCCGGCAGAGCCCCCTGAAGCTGATGGACAAAATCATGAGGGAATAGGCTATATAATAGCTATATAAGCTCCGACAGTTTTCGGAGACTATATATTTTGGGTGGTCCTTATTCAAAGTATAGTGTAATATCCCCTAAACCCCTAAATCCTGAACCGTGTTCTAGGCCAGTCCAGGATTTCGTCCATCAGTCGAAGCGGGAGCCTGCTTGCGGCTCTGCCATTGGAGCAGCCGTCCTGCAAGAGAGGTGCACAGCTTTAAGTTTAAGGTTTAGGGTTTATGGCCGGAAGCAAACTGAAACTGCAAATGTTCCGCAAATCGGCCATGGAATTCCGTGTAAGTGCAGATAGCGAGCGCCGTCATGCGCAGTGGGCTCCTCTGCCCCCCAAGTGCCGCTTGCAACATCTGCTTCATCTCCCTTAGCACACTGAGTTGTCCCCCCTTCCCTGGAGCATGGAGCCTAGCATCAAAAAGCAAGACGCACCACATGCGACTGGCAACGTCTACAGTATGCTACTTGCTATCAGGGAGCGCCATCTCGTGTTGCAAATAGTCCAGGCGCCTGGATATCATGCTGAACGGCAGACGAGACTCCCTCCCTTCGCAGGCCCTTGCTCTCCCTCTCCTTCTCGGATTGTTTGAAAAACAATCTCTCTCTCTCTCTCTCTCTTTGTCACGGTTTCTTTCTCATTCTCTCTCGTGTCATTCTGTTAGCCAGAATGTCTTCAGCCAGGCAGCTGAGACTGCACGTGCTGCGATTGGAAGAGGTAGCTGAAAGCGTTCGTCCTTGGTTGTCGAGTCAAGGCGTGACGAACGAAATGCTCAGGGCCGCGTTCGGACAGATCGCTGCAAGCTCCGGATCAGAGGGCATGCGGATGGCAACTTAGGCGAGCCGAGCTGCGGCGTCGCCACCGACACTGCACCATTCATGGAACTGCGTCCTGGAAGGGACAGGTCCAAGTTGCGGCAGCTGTCATCTTTCAACTGTAGCTGAACATGTGCAGCAATATTCATGTTGCAACTGCCACGTGTCCTGAGGGGATGCTCCGGATGAGGGCATCGTTCTGGGCCCTGGAGAGTCTGGAGGGTAATTGCTATAGGACAGAAAGGCACAGCAACGGCCAAGCGAGGCGTGCGGACCATTGAAACTGCACCTGCATCGGCTGCCTGTGGCTTTGGGATTTGGGACTTGTCATGACTTGTCACGAAAGTGGAGTGAAGATGAAGATGTAAAGCAAAATGCAGAGTAAGGCGTGAACGGAGCACTCACCACGCGGACCGGAGATGGGGTGCGCTCATTGGAGGATGTCTCGACACGCCGGTAGACCGAAGGCTGCGGTACTGGGCTGCTGATGGGTGCAGTGCAAGAACCCTGGGGCACTTGGTGGGACTGTGGCAGCGAAACCGGCTCTGCGGGTGCTGCTGGCCACTGCTGTGCTGCCGGCACCGGCGGTGCTTGCATCGGCTGCATCTGCGGCAAGGTCTGGGCCTGGGCATGCGGCTGTGGAGGCTGCAGGTGTTGACCCTGCGGTGCTTGCATGACTGGCACGGTGTGGGCAGGCTGTGCTTGCGGCGTCACTTGCGGCACATGCTGCACCTGAGGTGCTGTCTGCACGGTTGGCTGTGGTGCGGCTGATGGCTGCAACGGCATGCCACAGTAAGTGACAAGCGGCGGCTGCTGCCGTTGTTGCTGCTGTTGGTGCTGCACTTGCTGCTGCGCTTGCTGCTGTGCTTGCTGCTGTGCTTGCTGCTGCGCTTGCTGCTGCGCTTGCTGCTGCGCTTGCTGCTGCGCTTGCTGCTGTGCTTGCTGCTGCGTCTGCTGCTGCGCATACTGCGCATGATACAGCTGCTGTTGAATCGTTGTTGCTCGGTAGACTGGTGCGACAGTCGGCGCTTGGTAGACAGGAACGCCCATGTTGAAAGTGTCCGCCGCTTGCATGTTTGCATGCACCTGCAGCTGGAGATGTACGCGATCGTTCACATGGGGCTTCTCTAGTTTATTGTTCCTTCAAGCTCCTCATATGCCTGTGTGCGAGAATCGGATTACACAAATGCCGCTGACCATACGGCAGCTAGGGGAAAGGCTGCTTCGGACGAACCAATAGAAAAGTCGTCAAAGTAAGCATGATTAAGCACCCCGGTCGTGTGAATGCGTCCGGATCAGAAGTGCTCAGGCTACTGAATGTTTTCGCAAGCTGACTCAGGATGGAATTTTGACCGACGAATGCTTCAATCAGTCTGAGTCCGTCAACGAACTCTGACAGGAGACCCCTTCGACAATGGGAACGTTGCCAATGAGCACAAAAGTTTGTGGACGTTGCAGCTTATGCGAACATGGCAGTGTGGCATGCTTGCGATTTCAGCATCAAGTGAGCCGTGGCAGCTCATATGGCCAATCACAATATTGCGATGTGTCCACACACACACATACAAAGTCTGGCTCAATTTATGTCGCAGATATTCCTTTACCAACATCTGATGATAAGCCGCTGCCGACTGAGAAACTGCCAACCGCATGACATCGGAAGCAAACAACCCTAACCCGTAAAGCCCTGCGCAGCGCTACCTCCGTTTGGATCGCACCAGGCGCGGTGCGAGGTGGTCCGTAGACCGGGACTGCCGCTGGCTCGGGGATCACCTCCATGACCAAGGACCAAGCTCGGAAACACAACGCATCGAAGGATGTCTCTTTACTGCGTAGGAATACCTAAAGGGGTGGTCGCACGTGTTTGTGAATATGTTGCGCCCCCCCCCCCCCCCCCCGCCCGCGCGCAGACAGGTGCCAATGGCACGCATGCGCGCAAGTATAGGTGCATGCATAGATCTCTAGGCGTGCATGGCATACCTGCATGTCATCACATATGTGCGTACATACACTCGCGCAACTGACAAAGTCATACGTACATACCTACATACATACANNAGGCAGACAGACATACATACATACATGCCTGCGGGCGTTGATCAATGATCCTTCTGCAGAATTTCGGGGAACAATCGCAGAACTTGCGGGCGGCATGTTTCTACCAGCAATAGCCGCAATACTATCCCCTAACAACATAAATAAGTAGTGCTGGTACCAGTCGTCGTCGTAGTAGCAGTCGTCGTCGTTGTTCTCGGCACGCACATACGATGAGCCCTTGCCTAAATGTGGCTACGTCGACTTTAACGACGCTTCGCGGAACTCTCGCTATAACGGAACCTGATTCGGCGCCTCGCAGGAGTCAGACGTGCATAGAGACAGAGATATGTGTATTTGTACACCAGCACGTATGCTCGCATTTCACGCATCGTTTGTGGTTGATGTCGTGGCCCTTCTGTCCATGTACACAATGTGGACAACAACTGAACTGTCACAATTGTGTCTGTACGTATGGTGTGCTCTTCATCTAAAGTGTTAGGGTGTTACATCTGCCCTACACGTACTTATGCTTGACCGCGTGGTTGAGTGGAAATGTGTGTGTGTGTGTGTTGAGCTTTGCAGCTTCTTGCTGCAATGAACCGGGCTATCGAGGATAGCTTACCCACTATATCCCAAGTTGTCCCGCTCCATATGTGCATGCATATATGAACAGAAAATAAGAAAGCATCATTGTTCAGGTCGTGTCAATATGCAGTTTGGGGTTTTCTCGTGCACTCGCTTTAGTTCAGACTTTGAGTTGTTTAGGATTCCCCAACCCCTAAGCCTCAAAAGCCAATATGACCCTATATACTAAGCCCTCAACCCACAACTTCCCTGAACCCTAAACCCTAAGCCCTAAAGGCTCGATATAACCCTCTATACCCCAAGCCCTCAACCCAAAGCTTCCCTAAACCCTGCCAGCCCTGTGCTTAGAACTGTCCCAATACTAGTTTGGGGGTTCCTGGGCCCCAAAACCATATTCTAATTATGAAGGCCAAGTATTGGGGTAGTTGTCTAAATTAGGGTCTCTTTTAGGCCATTTTAGGGTCCTTCTTATTATTAAGGGATTTTAGGGTCCTTCTTATACGAGGACCAAACTGTATGATCCGCTGCTCCCCCGGCCTGCTGAAGCCTGTGGGCCGCCAGGGCCTGCCACCGAAAGCCGAGGGTTTGGGCTTTAGGGTTTTGTTTTTAAGTGTTGTGGCCTTTTCGGGTTTGGGGTTTGGGGTTTAGGGTTTGGGGTTTGGGGTTTAGGGAGTTGGGGTTTAGGGAGTTGGGGTTTGGGATTTGGGGTTTGGGGTTTAGGGATTTGGGGGTTTAGGGGGTTGGGGTTTAGGGATTTGGGGATTTGGGGTTTAGGGATTTGGGGTTTGGGGATTTGGGGATTTGGGCTTAGGGGTTTGGAGTTTTGGGTTTGGGGTTTGGGGTTTCGGGGTGGGTATTCTGCTTCAAGGAGCTTGGAGTTTAGGTGCTGGCCTTCTCGAACTCCTCACGGGAGAGGCCACCATCCTTGTTCTGGTCAAAAGCGTTAAAGATTGCGTCGACCTGTCCACATTGGACTTTCCGAAAATTAGGGGTACCTTATTTTGGGGTCCTTATAATAAGGATCCTACTATTTAGGGTCCTATATTAGGGTTTTCTATTTTCGGAAACCCCCACATAGCGACGTGCTTGCAGATGCATGAGGTCCAAGCAATGCAACGCCTGCAATAAACCCGAAATCCCCTAGCCTTCCGCACCGGCCATCGTCGTAATTTAAGGGTCTGGCTCATGAGTAACAGCGGTGACCCCTTGTAGTATTTCTTGAAGTCTAGTGTTGGGGGCCCATCAGCCGGATCTCGCCCTTCCCAACCCTCTTCCCCACACCACACGTCGCGCCTCGGACTGCAACATGACTCGCGAGATCTCGCGAGGGAGAAGACGGTCCTGCACAGGGCTTCATTCGGATGACTGATCCAGTTTTCGATCGACCAAATTGCATCTGATACTCAGTCGCTTGCTTGCTGGTATATCTCTTTCTGCGCTCGTGTCTATTTACTGATAGCAGGCTTGCTTGTGTATGCAACTTCTCTTCACTTGTGACCTTAACCCTAAACCCTGACCTCTAGACCTGTCCATCTGACTCCCCTACCCCCTACGATCCGAAACCCTGCAAGTAGCTGTTCCATAGCTGCCCCTCCCTCGCCTCGGATACTCACTAGCACTTCTTCGCGGCCCAGCACTTTGAGCCGAGAGCTGCAGGGAAAGCCAAATACGGTATAGGGACTCAGGGCGAAGCACACGTAAGAGGGGAAGGGGAGCTTCCCAAAAGAAAGGGGTGCCTTGTTCCTTGCTTCAGGCTCTAGGTTTTGGGGCTTTGAAGGTTTGAGGGTTCAGGTTGTTGTGGGACGAGGGTTAAGGTGTGGAGGTTCAGAGTTCTGCGATTCTGGGCTTGAGATTTGGACAAGCTCGGATAGTTGGCAAGAGCAGAGATGCCTCGTGCCACTTCCAACCCTAAATCCCATGGAAATAAACTGCATGCACTCAGCAACCCGAACCCGAAACCTGAATCCAAACGCCCAAACTCTAAACCCCCGGCCCGTTCTGGAGGCACGTTTCTCTTCACTCGCCTCTCACAATGGTTGTAAGAACAGGCGCCGCCACGGTGAGGCAGAGCAGGGCACCTCGGGAGTTATGTCCAGAGGTTTCGGACTCTGGTGCCTTCCCGGTTTCGGGTCATAACATTCCAATATAGTCGCTATATGCCGCCATATCATATACTGTACTTTCACATACATATATATATATATATATTATCTCTATATATATATATATGTGTGTGTGTGTTCGCATATGAAAACCCTCTTCTATAGGGATTTAGGAGCGGAAGGCGGCGCGCAACAGCTGCCAGCTCTGAGGCGCCGCACCACACGCTGCCCAAAGCAGTCCATGCAGGAGAGGCCCGAGGGCCTCGAGACCTCCCAAAGCAAACGGCCATGCCTGAACCCCCGATTCTTCGGGTCCGTTAAGAGTTAGAATGGGGTTTAGGGTTTAGGGCTTTTGGGTGGCATGTTTTATCATGGTTGTATTGTACGCTGGCATAGGGACTGTAAGGGATCAGGCGCCCAACAGCACGGGAAACTGAGTCTTTCGGCATGCCGCGGCATCTCCAGCGCGCCTCGAGCTTGAGGAGGCGCACCTATCATTTGATCGGATGATCCCTCTCTGCCGCTGTCTTCATCCTCGTTCCGAGCGGACCTTCAGGTGGTAGGGGTCGTCTTGCCTCGGTGGCTGATGGAGCAGTTTCTCCCGAATTTCACCAGCTCCGGGCCCGCAGGAAGCTGGGGCATCGGCCACGGTGGTCATCGCTGCAAGCGATACCAGCACCAACCTGCAGCAGGCCGCTTTGGGTGCGGCGAGCGGGTTTCTGCCACTGGGAGCCGCGCAATGTCCACGAGACGCCAGCAGCAGAGGCCGACAAAGGCCGATCCTGCACGAAAGGATATCGAGCCAAGGCGCTGAATCCCCCTACCGAACGCCACGCAGCAACAAGAAGTAACAGTTGCTCCCCTTGTATCGATCTAAGGCCCATCCCAAAAGCCTTACTGTAAGCGCATCGTGGCAATGGTTTGCTCACTACTGCCAAAAACAGAGCGGCATCCTGCAACTCGGCTGGGGTCGGCAGCCCCTTGCCACGCTGAGACGCCAGATGCAACCTTCAAGGCCGTGCCAAGGGCTGGGTCGGAGGTTCTGAGCAGAACCCATAGCCATAGACCGTAGACGTGATGTGTGGCATGGGAAACCCGTAGCTGCGCTGATGCATTTGCCGTTGCAAGCGAGTCCCTGCGACGCTAAGCCGCGAACACGCCACCGATGCCCCCTTGGCCTTCGCCTGACAGACGTGCATCTGCACATCACCCGAAGACTACCAATGACACATGATGAGGCTTCTGACCTGAGTGGCCGGCAGATTACCTTGATTGAAATCAGGCTTCAAGCAACATGCCTTCCCTCTTGAGGTGGCCCTCTTCATAGCAGAGCTCACTATGACAAGGACCCGACAAGTACAAAAGGCTTCCCCTTACTAGGTACCGACCGAAACAGCCCTTCATGTTACCCAGGTCACCGTCAGGTGACCCATTACAAGGGACTCGCCTTTCGAGCTAAACCCTCAACCCCAAAGCCCTAAAGCAATAAACCCTGAAACATAAAGCCCCAAAACGCTGGCCTGCACAGGAGGCTCCGAAGAGGAGGAGCAGAAGGATCAGCGTGTCCGACTGTCCACGGAAAAGGTTTTAGGGTTTAGGGTTTACGGTTTGGGGCTTCTAAGGGCCCTAGGGTTCCTCAGGGTTCCTTAGGGCCCTAGGGTTCCTTAGGGTTATACGGGGGGTCCTTGGGGTTCCCTGGCGTTCCCTGGGGTTCCTTGGGGTTCCTTGGGGATCGACTTTAGGTTGCATACTCGGCTCGCCTGGCCATCTAAGGACTCCAGGTTTCCCTTTGCAGCCTGGCATCCCCGCGCAGTCGCTAAACACGTCTAGGGCTTGGAGGCTTCATGCGACAGGAGCTTTAGAACGAACCATCCAATGAAACCAACTTTATGTTGCTGCACCAGAAATACGCATGATCGCGTAGCTGCGCGCCTACATGCCTGCATAGATACATGCATGCAGGTGTGGGTGCGTGGATGCATGCGCGTATATGTAGATGTGATGGAAAGCCTCCAGCTGCGATCTGATGCGCATCATATTCAGCCGGGCCAGACGTCTCTTCACCTCACATGCGCACTCGCCGCAATGTTTTAGGGCCAAGGGCAACCTCTCTAAAGTCATATGAAAATAGGATAGATTCAACAGCAGCCGCAATGGATGAAAAACGACACTGGTAGCAAGAAGGGTCGACTCTCTCTGCTCCTAGGAACGCCTCGCCATGCTGCTCATGGAGAGGATACCCCTCCAGGCCTGATAGCGTATCAGGTTCGCCGAAACCTGCACTGACAGAGCTGCGCGTCAGCTCACGATAAAGCCACGGATGATACGATGCGCAGAGGCTCAGGCTGCAGTGGCTGCCACCAGCGGGAATGGAAACCACCTGGACCCTGGCGTGGATGAAGCAAGAGAGAGGGTGTCAAGAGTATACAGTATGCTGAGCATACTGTTCATATTATTGTGGCGGATGTTTTGTCCCAGCATGAGACCCTACACCCAAGCCTCAAACTCCTCATGTCGCCTGCGTTAGTCACGTAAACAGGCACAGCAGACCCAAGTGGCAGCACATGAGCATCCAGAAGAAAGACCTGTCGGATTGAGGGATCGTCTCACGTTGGAGGCTTGTAGGCCCCATAGTAGTTCCTTTTTCGGGTTCATATTTAGAATCTTATAAGGTACTCCCAAAAAGGAACTACTTTGGGGCCTGTGGGTAGTCATGAGGGTTTGAGCTTTGGGGTTTAGGTTTCACCCTAACCCCAAACCCTAAACCCTAAACCCTAAACCCTAAACCCTAAACCCTAGAAGTCCCGACCTGGCGCCCACCGCTTGCCAGGCGAAGAGCACCAGGGAGGCAGCCACGGCCGCGGAGAGGGGGGGCCTCAGAGAGGTGTGGGGCAATAATGGGCAATAGGGTTTAGGGTTTAGGGTTTAGGGTTTAGGTCACAAACTATGGATCAAGCCCCCTGACTTAAAGACAAGGACAGGTGTCATCACACAGAGGCATGGGGCTTCGGGCTCAAGCGGCTTTTTTGGAAGCCTCGGGGGGCTGATGAAGGGATTTCAGGCGGTCTCGGGAAGAAGGCTCAGGGCTTCAGGGCTCCGGGCCTTTTTGAGCCAACATATCGTGCCAGAAAACCCAATAAAGGGCCTTCCTAAACCCTAAACCCTAAACCCTAAACCCTAAACCCTCCTTATCCACCCGGGGAGAGCAACACCGAAACTCCAAACAACTCCAGATCTGCGCAAGCGGCCCAGAGCTAAGCTCTGGGCCGCAGCTGGACCGTGACCGCTGGCGCAGGCTCCAAGGCCTCAGGTAGGGACTTTAGGGCATTTAGGTTTGGGGTCCGTTTCTTAGTTAAGGGTCTGTTTTCCGCCTACAGGTGGTATGTTAACGTCAAGGGTTTAGGGCTTGAGGAGGTTAAGATTTAAGCTTTAGGATTTAGTGTTTAGGGACATTGGGGTGGGGGTCTCGGGACTGCAAGAAGCCAATAGCTGTGATCTGTGGAAATTTCAGGGCAGCTCGTCGCGAAGCCAACATCGCAGCGCCGCTGCAGGTCCTTTTTTTCAAGGTCTACACATGCAAAGCTTCTCCTGAACCCTCAACCACTCCACCGGCCTATGTATCCACGACCTCTCCCGAGGTGGTTCGGCTCCTATGAAGGCCAAGGAGGAAAGTGTAGCCATCTCGAGGCAGGTCGAAGCCCAAAAGCGCCTCCTTCTTGGACTGGCGTCGCACCTTGCGCCGGCACCGAGCAACGTGACGCTGTGCAAATGGTTGAATGTAGGTATGGATGAGGAAATGGATTTCATGGATGGATGGATGGATGGATG